CGGCGGGATATGTTCACATCGGCCCGGAGGGAGCGGAGGTCGGCGACGCGGGCGATGTCGAGGACGAGCTCTTACGTCGCGCTCTTGACGATGGAAAGGATCCGCCACGCCCATGGAGCCGACGATGTCCCCGTCGACCTCGAAGTAGTCGGGCCCGGAGAAGTAGGGTAGTGGCCCCGGCGAGCTTGGCGTTGCCGCCGACGGCGCGGCGCACGAGCCAGTTTCTCAACTTCAGTTGCGCGTCGCGGTGGCCGTCGTTCGTGCGCGTGCACGCAGATGACGAAGTTGCCCAAAGTGCATGCAAAAGTTGAGGTCGAACTCGAAGACCTTACCGCCGTCCGGCCCTTTGCGACGAAGGCGCCCGGGTGGCGCGCGACGTGGAGCTGGGGCACGTCCGTGAGGAAGAGGGCGCACAAACTCAGCGCGCTCGGCACCTTGACGCGGTCGCAGAGGTAGCCGCGCCGCGGGCTCGCTCCGGCAGTGCCCATCGTTCGTCGACGGCTAGGGCGGCAGGCCGCAGTGCGCGTCGCGGTCGTCGTCGGCGAGCGACGCCGCGGAGCCGCCCGGCGACGTCGCATCCGCGCACTCGTTGTCGCGGCCATCGGCGTCGGACGCGCGCGTCGTCGCGGCCGTCGTCTCGGACGTCCCGCGGGGCGCCGAGCGCCTCGAGGATCGCCGCGGACCGCGCGTTGGGCAGCGCGCCGACGATCGACGCTCCGGGTGTGAAGTCGTCGCTCGAAGTCACCGCGTCATTTCCGACCTTCTCCGGTGGCAGCGCCGGCGCGGCTGCCTCTTGTCGTCCCAAATCTGGGCGCGTTCGCGGTCGCGTCGATAGCACCGACATCGCGTCGATCGATCTGCTGAAGTACAATAGTAAAGAAATAAATAAACACAAACTAAACATATACTATTGTACCTAGGTAGAGGTCGCACTGGCGTAAAGATCTCTAGCTGCTCCAGCATGGGGGGTCTTGCTCCGGCGACGGCGTCCGATGGCCGACGCGTCGGACGCCCGAACGTGCGGTTTTTGGCTAGCGGCCAGGGACGCCCGGTGGCTATACGTGACAAAAACAAGCGCTCGGATTGGGACGAATGGCTAGCCGTTTCGCTGGCTTGAGTACCAAACACGTACGCGCGGGCCGGGAGCGGAGACCTCTGAGCCCAAGCTTCCGACGCACGGCAGCCCGCTCTGGTGGTCGGAGTGGCCTTCCATGGCCCCTAGGCGTAAGCCTGACCGTCGGTGCCCCCATCGGAGGTGGTTCTGGCGTCGACCAAATTCCACCGCGCGGGCCTCGTCTCCGCGGGGCTGCCGCGGCGTACAAGTCCGTGCCAGCGAAGCGCGTCACCATCGATGGCGTTGGATACGCCCCTTGGTTTTGGGTGCGACGTCGGTGTGACGGCTGGGGTAGGCCATTTACGTTGCGTAAGATGTACCACCCCGCTCCGCACGCAGGGGTGCCGCCGACGCCAGTGGCGGAGCAACACCCCCCCTTGGTATCAGAATATTATTATGCACTTTATTATGCTCCTCGTCCGCGCGAAACGCTGACCCCTCACGTCGCGACCAGGACTCTTCGGCGTGCTCGGTGCTCGGTGTACTCGCCCGCGCGCCTAATCTCTGGCGTGCCATTGCTCGGTTACGTAAAAAAGTGGCGAGTGCATGTCATGAAGATGCTTTCCCGAATGCTGGTGTGTGCTTGCGCCGGGTGCGCGTCCGCGGCGCCGACGCTTCTCCTCGCGGCCGCTGCTATTCCCGTGACTCGATTTGACAACTTTACGCGCAAGGAGCTCGGAGAGATGATTGGCCTTGCCTGTGCGACGGACTTTGACATCCAAGTCGTCGTCGATGCCGACATGAGGACATGGGTCGATAAACTCCCACAACTCTGCAATCGCATCGACCTCGCAACGCTGAGTAGGACGGCGATTCACGGCTCACGGGACGGACCGTGCGAGGACAAGATTGGCGTCAGGCCGTGTCCTGAGTTGCTGCGCGCCGCTCGCTCCTTCAAAGTCCGGGCCATCGAGAAGTATGCCCGTATCCACGCGAGCAACGGGCTCATCTACTTGGACAACGACGTGCATATTCATCCCCACGCGCAAGCCGAGTTTCTCGCCGTGTTCCGAGCGATGCGCTCGGCGAACGCGTCCGTGGCCCTCGCCCGCGCAAAGAACTGCATCCCAAAAGGCCACGAGATTGCCGGAATCCCTAACACGTTCTGCGAACGCAACGGTGGGGTGCTTCTCGTACATGGCGCGAGTGGGACTGAATTGGCGCAAGCGTGGTCGAGGGAGTTCAGCAAAAATCTTTCGCCGGATGGCCACGATCAAGTCTCGCTCCGCAAGGTGCTGTGGGATTTTACGCTCGCAGATCACAACCTACTCTACGAGCTCCCCGAACGGCTCAATTGCCGCACGGCATGCGACTCCTGCGCCGTCGTCCACGTCCACAATTACAAGGGGGCGGTCAGGTGCGAACTCGGAGCCGACGGACAGCTGGTCATCGTGAAGCCTGCAAATGGGACAGAAAAGAAGACATGTAGACCGCCGGGCGTCATCGTCGTCGGCGTCTCTCGGTCGGGGACATCGATCGCCACGAGCATCCTCGGACGCCTTGGTGCGCACCTCGGCAACGTGGAACAGAGCAGGTCCGACCAGAACCATCCCGACGGCATCAACGAATTAATGTCAGTGAAACGTGTGAACAAAGGTATCTACGACGTGGACGGACTCACTTGGGACGAGCTGCCGCGACCTCTCTCTCCGGGGACACGCACGCGGCGAGATCTCGTCGATAGAGCCATCGATGCCCTGGCCGCGTTTCTGGACCTAGGCTGGGACTCGTGCGCCCCAGGGGCCTGGTGGGCGCTCAAGGACCCACGATTCTCGATCACGCTGCCAATTTGGCTCGCCGTGGCGAAGCGCCTCCGGCTACACGTCGCCATCCTCTTCGTCTGGCGCGAGCCCGCCCCGAACGCGCGTTCCCTCGACCTCCACGGGCACTTTGTAGACTCGCGAAGACGATGGCAGGCGATGAATAGTGTCGCACTAACGGAGATTGTGGACGAGGTCTGCGTCCAGCTTGCCTACACGGACCTCGTCTCAGGCGCTGAGCGCCGACTCGACGCGATCACTCGACTTGCCCAGAGGCTCTACGCCGTCAAAATCCCCGTGGCCAAGCGAGGGCGCCTTCAAGTGAACACGTCGATCGCCGACTTGACGTTCGTGAACAAGGCAGAGGACAATCTGGATGCGCTCACGCCCTCGCAAGCCGACCTCGCAAAAAGACTTCGATCCAGCCAGTGCAGGATTTAGCCGTGCCGGCGTCAACGGCCTCGGCACGCCGCTCGAGCAGTGTAGCCGCCTCGTGAACCTCGAGGAACTCTATCTCGAGATCTGGCGCCACCAGCCCCAGGTCATGACCTCGTCGACGGCCGGTCAAAGCCAGTCTCATTCAAACCCCAGTAAATATGAGGGAAGTCACACAAGTACTAGTAAGGCGAGGCGATATCCCGCCGGCGGGATATGGTGCCGGCCCGGCGTTAGCAGTCCAAAGCCCGGCGAGCCTCATCGATGAGGCCGATGTGGCCCGCGGCGACGGAGGCGCGCCCACAGATCTCCGCTTTACACATCTGCTTGAGGAGCCCCTGGACATTCCAGACGCAGGGGTCGACCTGGACGGGCTTCCAGCGTGGGTCGGCGTCGGCGTTCTGGTAGAAGAACCAGTAGATGAAGCCCTGCATGCGCGCGTCGAACTTGTAGTGGAACGGGCCCCAGCCCGCACCGTTCCAGCCCGTCTCCCTGCTGACCTACGAGCGCCAGGCCGTCTCGCCGCGCGCAGGGCGGGAGGGAGGAGACGAGAAAAAAGCGCTCGTTCGAGACGACGCGGGGGGACGCGCGTTTGACGTCGAGATCGCCGACAGGAGCGCGTCCTGGAGCTCGGCGCTGGGCGGGAAGGCTACAAAGGCGCCGTTTGCCGCTGAGTGCGCGCCCCGCGTCGTGATCACGTGCCCCTGGGCCGCGCAGTCAAAGATGGGCCAAAGGTCACGGACGTCGTTGACGTCAAAGTCGTTGTCGACGACGATGAGGGCGTCGTAGTCGGCGAAACCGTAGGCGGCGAGTTTCATGAACTCGCGGGCACCGCAGCAACCGCCGCTCTCCAGGGGAACGTCGGGGCTGAGATTTGGCGGCGTGATCCACTCCGAGATGTGCACGTCGACGCCGCCGGCCGCGAGGCGCTTCACGACCGAGCCATTGATCCGCTTCAACTGCAGGTCGCGTCGCGGCACGACGAAGATGACGTCGACGCCCGCGCGTCTCCCGAGCGCGGCGAGCTTGAGGCGGTGGTCGACGGCGGTCTCGTTAGTGCATCGCGTGTGATTCAGGTCGCCGCACATGTCTTCGATGTTCACATGTGCGTCGAAGACCGACGCGATCGCGACATTCTTTGCCACGCCCCGTTCGCACGTGGACACGTCCAAGCACTCGACCTCCTTACCGTGCGACGTGCATCGCACTGTGTCCTTTAGCGCCTTTTCCAACCATTTCATGGATCCGAATGCCACCGGGGCCAGAACGACGAGTCGAAGCACGACGTAAAGCACCGCCACCATATGGTGAAAACGGATGGCGATGACTGTGCTCGGGGCAAAGTGTCGGCCGCTCGAGTCCCTTGGGAGGCAGCGTGTGGTGATGATGACCCGTCAGGTACAAGCAGCTGATCTGAGCAACAGGATTCAATAATATGTTTCCGGTACCGAGCTGGTTGATTGAGAAATTGACGGAGGAAATAATGAAATAATGTGGTCGTCAATACAGGAATATGCTAATGCTCATAAGTTGGGACAAGATAGACGAACATATCCCGGATGATACGTACGGATTAGGGCCCTCACTCATCCCTCACTCCAGGGTTTCCGTCCATTTTGGTCTTCCAATAAGGTCTAGCAGCCGGGCTAGATATCTACGCAGTAGTAGCAAAGACAGACGCAAGCAGCTCACCTCGCACGCCTTGTGTGATGCTGCATCCGCGCTCCAGGGGCGCCTATCCCTGAAGACGTTCGGCAGTCTGAAGGCGATGCTACACGAAGAGTGGGACGAACACGAACTCGACGAGGAAAATGCTGACTACGAGTCCGACGACTCACTCGATAGAAAACACGTGTCGTGGTCCTGCATCAAGTGCGAGATGAAAGACTTCGAACTCTACACCGATTGCTGCTGGGGCTGGCCGGATGGTACAGGTCTTACCTCGAAAGGACACAGGGTGTGTGTCGATTACAGATGGGTGGTGGGGCTGAGTGTGTTACCCACACTTGAATTCAACACTAACCCACCCAAGATTTTACGGCAGTGACAGGCTCGTTCTTGCCATGGTGGCGCGCTCGACTCGAGCGTTTTTGTATTTATCTTTCGACCGGTCGGGACCCGTCGAGGGCGGCTGGTTTTCGCTTTTTTGAAAACTGCCCGACTGCTTTCTTAGGCCGTTTGGCGACAGGCCCGGGCGCCAGGCAAGGACCAGGCGAAGGAGTCGCGTCCGGAGCCGTCGATTTTCAGTCACGAAACAGCCAGGCTACCCTACTGGGCCGTTCAGATCACCAGTTTGTTGGCAAAGGTCATAAAACCCCCGAGATCAAGTTTTTCGATCGCGGAAAATAGCCCGATTCGACCATCGTCGTCCAAATAGACTTCCAGCGGCCGTCGCGTTGCAGCGAGCTCTTGAGCGCGAGCACCTCCTCGACTCGCTTCGCGACTTCGTCGGCCCACGTACCGTCGTGAACGTCTCTTTCCGGCCAGCAGAAGATGTCCCGCCCCGGTTCGGCGTAAGAAGGCGCTCCGCGCGCGACGATTTTGCGAGCTTCAGCGCAAAACGCGTGTCCCCCGAGTCGCCGCAGCTCATCCGCGCAGAGCGCTTCGACGAGGAAGGAGCTCTGATTCGCGGCGCGGCAGGTGCAGCGCGGGGGCGCCGGGGCGCCCTGAATCACGCGCGGGCCTTCTGCGGAGGGGAATTCCCGGTGGACAGGCACGGAGCGACGTCCGAGCTGGGTCGTCACAGCGATTCCACTCTGCATGCCCACGTCGACGAGCACGCCGAGGCTGTACGAGGCCGCGGCCTGGACCAAGCTGCTCGAAGAGACGAGCAGCACGTCCGCGTCCATCATAGCGTCGATCGCTTCGATGGGCGATCCACCTACGTGCCATACAATCTCGAGGGACGGATTTGCTCGCCCCCACGCGGCCTCGGTGGCCGCGTGGTCGTCGTGGCCGTCCGTGAAGATCTCGAAGCGGACGCTCTCGGAGGACGTGCGCGCGAGAGCCGACGCAATAGCGTCAAGAAGGACGTGATAGTACGCATCGGGCACGTAGCGCCCGTACACACTTTTGCCGAGCGACGTGCACAGGTCTCCGCGTCTGACGTGGACAGCGACGACGACCGTCGCGGGGTCGCCGAGCGCCGCCGCCGACGGAAGCCGACTCGTCTGTAGACGCAGCGAGGCGACGCGATCGAGGGCAAAGCGCGAGGCTTCGCTTGATTTCGACCAGAATGGTAGCGGGCGCGCGTCTTCTCTCATGCACGCGGGCCGCGCGCTCACGTCGCACGTCGGGGGGAGGTCGATCGTCACGCCGCGCGCGTCCACGAGCACCCACGAGTCCCAATATGGGCTCGCGCCGCGATTCGGGAGCTCGTGCATGTCGAGGCGAACACCCGCGAGATGCGGCGCGTCGGTGGCGCACTCGAGGCGCCGCTGGCACGCCCTCAAATCGACGCAGCCAAGCGACGACGCGTTTCGCATGCGTCGCTCCGCGACAGATGCGACGTTAACGCAACCCTTTTCGCGTCGGTTCCAGAAGAAATGTGTTTCGGCCTCCGCGACGTCGGCGGCGGACATGTGACCCTCGACGAATCCGCGCGGGAAAAACGCGCACCCGAGTCGGGACGCGGCCGACGCGGCGTTGAGCGCCTTGATGAGCTGCGAACCGAGACGATCCCAGTCAAAGGTCTGCTGGATCACAAAACACGTCGCCACCCGTCGCGGAATGAAGGTGTTCAGCCGCGCGATTTGCTCCGAGACGCGAGGAGCGTCGCTCGCGACGAGCGGCGAGGCGCGGCACGCGTCGACGAGCGCAGCCGTGGCCACAGCGAGCCGCTGCGTCGTTGCATTCTCATCGAGTCGTTGTCGGGGTGGCGGCGCTCGCACTGCAAAGGTCGCTCCGATCGCGAGACTCGGATGAACGAGGGACGCGAGCGACGCGGAGAACTCCAGGCTCTCCAAGGCTGCGCACGCGAAGAAGCGCGGGTCGATGACGTCGAGCTGCTGCCGCAGGGCCGACACCGCGTTCGTCAGCACCGCTGCCTGCTCCTCCCAAGAACCCGAACCTGCGGTGAACGGTCGTGGACGCGAGCGTGTCCTGCGCGTTTCGGGTCGTCACTACGATCCGCAGGTCCGCGCCCGCCTCTTCCGCCCATCGCGCCAGCCAGTAGAGATCAGGGTATTGTAGGGGACGGCCCGGGCCCTGAAAGTTAGGATAGCTCATCATGCCGCTACAGGTCCCGTTTTCGCAATGTCCCGCGCCGCCGCCGAGCGCGTTGAGCGCGAGCAACCTCGGCGCTTCCGTCCGCGCGGCCGTTCGCATCGCCGCGACGACCGCTCCCACATTGCCGCGCCTCCGGTCCGGGTCGCGCGCGAACGCGCCTCCGATCGGCGTCCAGCCGGAGGGACCCCGGACCCCGCTGAAGAGCGCGAGAGACGCGGTCACGTCGAAGCCGCAAAGTCCCGCGGGACAGCTCCTCTTCAAAACGGACGGCCACGCGTGATGTCCGCTTCCCTCGAGCCCGGCCACGAACAAGACACGATGCGTCGCGCTGAAATGCGTTTTTCGCACGAGGACGCGCGATCCCGCCAAGGTGAGTCGCAAGAGCAGCAGCAACATGTCTTATCGCCTAAATTGGAATTCGAAGACCTTTCGTACTGCGCGCGAGTAAAGATGTTTCGCGGCCAATCTCACACCTGACGCTGTTCTTCGATCGTCAGGGTCAGCCGCTCGAGGAATTGCATTCACGACGTCTATCCCGAACGCGCCGACCGCTGCGGAAAACCGTCGTCGACATCCCAGACGGCTGGGGCAACAGCGCCGACCCGAAGCGCACCCGAGACTTCTTTGATATCACCGGCCCTGGCTCTACAAATCAACGACCCCAAGTTTGTCGATGAGTTTTCGTCCACTTGAGTCCACTTGCCTTTAGCTAAAGGAAGCAGAGTAAACTCTCCCTTCAAGGGGGTTCCAGAATGAAGGCCGACGGACCGCGCTTGGATGGCGCAGCCACCTCAGCAGGCACGGAGGAGGGTAGGGCAGGGCGGGTGCTTCATTTGTGCCGAAGGAGGGTGATGGGCGGGCCAAAAAATAAGCCGCGCCACCCCGGACCCCGGGGAAGCGGCGAGCTGGGAGAGGACCACCACAGCCAGCAGTTTTATTTAGCTGGATGATGATAGGTGGTCTAAACTCACTGACTCGTTACCGGAAACATATTGTGCGCTCCTACTGCGCATCCTGCTAGTTTCCCTTCCCTTCCTTAATTCATACTAATGCAAGCAGACCTAATCAATAAAGTTCAGGTGCATAACCATGGACGTCAAGGCCAAAATCGACGACATGTTCAACTTACCCTCAAGGTCTACTCTCCTCCTTCTACCCCAGGGACGATAGGCTCAGTCTACTGGCCTTTCCCCACTGAGGAGGCTCTCTTCCTTTTTCCTTTCCTATCCCAAAGTACTGAGATCCTCCCTCCCTGGCGCTAACGCCAGTAGGTCAGTCCACGTAACTCTCGCAGCTGCCCCTGCGAGCATTGCGCAGCACACAAAATCCGTATAGCTATTTTCTTTTTACCTTCTGCTCAGCGTGCTCGAAGCGGGATATGTTAATACGAAAGGCCACGTGGACGGAAACTATGAGTCTATTGAACGCAGATTCTGGGTGTATTTAGTTTGATTTATTTATTTGTTTACTTCCGGGCGGCAGCAGTTGCGATGTCGCAGCCGTCTGAAGTGAGCTCCATTACGGCGACGCAGCACGACGACGGACGCGCGTCCAAGTTTGGGACGACGACAAGAGGCAGCCGCGCCGGCGCCGAGACCGGACAAGGTTGGAATCGCTGCGGTAATCTTCGATCGAGGGCACGCTCCTGGACGACGAGCTCCCGCGCGGCCCGCTCGAGGCGCTAGGCGTCGACGACCTCACCTGGAGCGTCGATCATCGGCGCGCGGCCCAACGCGCGGTCCGTGGCGATCCTCGAGGCGCTCAGCGTCCGAGACGTGGACGAGTATGCGGCGCGGCTCCAGGATATTCTCGGCGCGCGCGCTCGTCGACGCCGCGCTCGTCCTTCGAGAAGACGATGGCGCGCCTTGTCCGCGACGTCGAACACGGGAAGCCGTTCCTCAAGGCGGCGGAGAAGTTGGGCGTGGACCCGCGGCGCTAGGCTCTCTGAGAGAGAGAGAGAGCGCAAGAAAGCGTAGTTTAAACTTCAAGTGCCCGTTTTCTTAAGGGCTGGCCTAGCTAAATCCCCTTACAAGGCCTGTGGTATTCTGCCAGCGCGCGTTATACAGTTCGCGAACCA